GTGACGCCGGCCGCGCCGCCGACGCAAGTCGCCGACGCCGGACCGCAGCTGCCGCCGGGCAGCCCGCCGCTCGGCTTTGAGGGCTTCTGCCCCGTCACGATGAAGAACGACTGGCGCTGGGCGAAGGGAGACGTCCGCTTCGGCGCGATCCATCGTGGCCGGACTTACTTGTTCGCTTCACAGGACGCGCAGCAGAAGTTCCTGGCGTCGCCCGAGGCGTTCAGCCCGATCCTGGCCGGCGCCGACCCGGTCCTAGCGGTTGACGAACGCCGCAACGTGCCGGGCGTCCGCGACTACGCCGTGGAGTACCAGGGCCGCTTCTTCATGTTCTCCAGCGAGCAGACGCTCGAGAGGTTCTGGAGCAAGCCGGAAGACTACGCCCAGGCGGCGGAACGCGTCGCCGCGTTGCCCGCGAACGGCACGATCGTCCGCTAAGTCGAGCGAAGCGCCGCCGCTCGGCTCAGTCTTCGCGGATCGAACGCTGCAAGCGAATCACCTGGGCGCGGACTTCTTCCATGCCCGGGTTGAGTCTCAACGCGCGGCGGAACGACTCGAGAGCGGCGACCGGGTTGTCTTGCATGAGGTAGCACTGCCCCATGCCGGCCGCAGCGGTGAAGTGGTACGGGTTGATCTCGAGCGCCTGGTGGCAGTTGCGGATCGCGGCCTCGTACTGCGACAGGTGGTAGTGGGCCATGCCGCGTTGGCACCACGCCTCGGCGATCCACGGCGACTCGTGGATCAGCTCGGTCGCCATCTCGATCGCTTGATCGTGCCGCTTCGTCTGGTTCATCCGGACGATGCTGCGGAGCGTCATGCGTTGCTCGCGGCTGCCGACACGTCCCCACAGCTCGCGGATCGCGTTCTCGGCGATCGTCCGCACGCCGCGGTCACGGTCGGCAAGTGCTCGGCCGACGACGGCGTTGGAGCCGTAGTCGCCCATGAAGCCGAGCGCCAGCACGGCGGCGCGTCGGCCGGCGCGGTCGGACATCTGCGAGAGCCGCTCGAGGCTCGCGCACGTGTAGTGCCGAGCGACGGACTTGATGTAAGCGGCCGAGTCTTGATCGTTCAGGTACTGCTCGTACGCCGAGACGATCATCGGCGGTTGCACGGAGGGTTCCGACACGGCGTGATTCTCGCTGCGGGCGACACGAGCGATTCCCCCGCTCGTGCGTCGCCTTGGACTGCGCCGGCCTTCTTCCGTGCCTGGCGTTCCCGCGATGGGAGCCGCCGAGCAAGCCGCTGCGTTTCGTCCGCCACGGCTCGTCTTCCCCAGGACGGGAAAGCCTCGTCGTGACCAAACGACCTGTCCCGAGTTTAATCAGGGTTGAAGGCCGCACAACGAAAAAGCGAGCAACGATTATTCCGTACAAGACCTCGTCGAAATCACCTCGATTTTGCTTGACAGCACGAGCGCGCCAACGCTTGTGTCTGGCGTCGATCGCGGCGTGCGCAGCGGCGTTGCTGTGCCTTCCTGCCGCGCCGAGTTTCGCCGACACGAGCGACGCCGCGGTGCGACGCGAGCTGCGTCGAACGTTGCAAACGCCCGCAAGCGGACGCTGGCGCGAGGCGCCCATCGGCGAGGTGCTCGCAAGGCTCTCCGACGCCTTCGGCGTGCCGATGTGGATCGATCGCCGACTCGATCCTCAGGCGCCACTATCCCTGACCATCGACGAGGGTTCGTTAGGCGAGATGCTCGACGAGATCGCGGCGACGCAGGACTTCGCGACGGCGACTGTCGGACCGTTGGTCTATGTCGGTCCCACGAAGTCGGCGGAAGCGCTGCCAACGATCGTCGCCGAGTGGCGCAGGGCGGCGTCGGCGCCATGGCGTAAACGAACGCCCGTCGAATGGAAACGCTTTGCCACGCCGCGTGATTTGGTCGATTCGGCCGCCGCGGCGGCGGGCGCCAGGATCGCCGAGCCGAACCGGTTGCCGCACGACCTCTGGCCCGCGCAGACCCTCCCCGCGATGCGGATATCGGACCAGTTGGCGCTCTTGCTCGTCGGCTTTGACATGCGCCCGCAGACGATCGAGGGAGACGACGACCTCGTGGCGGTCGCGCCGATCGACTACGCCTCCCTGCGAGTCGCCAAGCAACGCCCACGCACGAAGGCACGGAAGCGCGTCGCAGACACGACGTCGCAGCGATTCACGATGCGCGTTGTCGAGCAGCCAGCGGGCAGCGTGCTGAACCAGCTCGCGGAGCGGCTCGGCTACGACGTTCGTGCCTCGGCGGTCGAAGAGGGCGTGCTCGAACGACGTGTGACGTTCGACGTCGAGAAAGTGACGATCGACGGCTTGTTCGAGGCGATTGGCGCCGCCGCCGGCGTCAGCGTCCGGCGTGAAGACGAGGCGATCGTTATCCGATCGCTGCCCTAGGCGGCGCCGCAAACGCAATCGGGGCCGCCGCGGACGATCCGCAGCGGCCCCGAGTTGGTTGGTGTGTCGAACGTTTCAGCAGCCGTGCTTCTCGAGCTTCTCGCGTAGCGTGTCGGCCGTGAACGGCTTGACGAGGTAGTCGGAGACGCCCGCCTGGATCGCTTCCAGCACGCGAGCCTTCTCGGCCTCGGTCGTGACCATGATGATCGTGACGTCGGTATCCTGCTTGCGGACCTCTTTGATCACGTCCAGGCCGGTCTTGCGGGGCATGTTCCAGTCGGTCAGGACCAGGTCGAACTTGCCGGGCTCGAACAAGTTGATCGCCTCTTCGCCATCAGCGGCCTCGACGGCGCTGGGCACGCCGACCGCGCTGAGCGAGCGGAGGATGATCTTCCGCATCGTGCTGGAGTCATCGGCAACGAGTACACGCGCGCTCATGGTGAGTCGGCTCCTGAGTGGTCGGCAGCGGGTCGCTTCGGGTGTCGTTCTCGGGGCGGCTGCCCGGAGGTGCTTACGACGAAAGCTAGGTTGCGATCCGAGCGCGTCAAAACAGGTTTGCCGAAGATCGCCGCCGACGTTGCGCTTGGCGCAGCGGGGTTGTCAGCCGAGCAGTTTGCGGAGCTGCTCTTGGATCGCGCCGGCGATCTGGCCCTTGAACATGGCCGCCGTAAGCGGCACATCCCCTTCGACCCGCACCGCGGACTCCTCGGCGGTGAGCGCGCCGGAGATGCCGATGCCCATCGCCTTGAACGAGAAGTTGAGGCGATCGCCCTCCCAGCTGTGTTGCAAGTCGGACAGCCGATCGCCTTGCTCTGCCTCGAGCTTGTCGGAGAACCCTTGCAACCGCTCCAGAGCGGCTTCTTTTCCGAGCGTGTGCGGGACGCTGAGGTCGAACTTCGGCATGGCGGCAACCGTGGGGCGTTTATTGCGTCGGTGAAAGCCGGAAAGCCTACCTCGCGTCACGCCCCTTGGCTGCGGGCGCCCGGCGGAGTCGATCCGCCCACGCACGCACACGAATCGGATCGAGGCGCCCCTCTCTCCCGTCGTCACACAGGGCGCCGCGCAAGCCAATCAGCGCCGGGCGGAGATCGGCAGCGGCAGCGATCCGCTCGCCCGCCAGGCTGCCTGCAAGCACAACCCGCACGCCGAGGCGATCGGCTAGCGCCAGACGTCGTGACAACGTCTCGACGCCGAGATGCGCCATCGAGTCGCCGCTCCGCTTGTCCCAGGTGTCGACGACGACCCAGCGGTCGGCTTGGGACGCGAAGCGGACCACCTCCGCAAGACTTGGCGCCCGGGACGCCTCGTCCGCGTACGCGACCGGGGCCACCAAGGGCCTTGCCGCAGGGTTGGCGTCTTCAATCTGACGCAGCTGACTCCCCCAGTCAGCTCCCGCCAGTCCGGACAGACCGAACTTGATGACGGCGACTCGGTGGATCCATCGAGGTGGAAGCAGCGATCCCGTCCACTCCCGCAGCTCGCCAAGGGCGACCGTCACCGGCCTCCTGCCATCGACGGCTTCGATGACGGCTTTGATCGTCGCGTCGTCCGCCCGTCCCAACGGACCGCGTGACGGTTCCTTGACGTCGATGACCGCGGCGCCGCCCGCGACGGCGTCTCGAGCCTCCGCGGCGCTTCGGACGCTGACCAGCAGCCCGACCCGGTTCTCCGCGGAGGCGGTCGCCGAGGCGTGCGAGGCGTCAAAGGCGGTTCGATCGGTCGTATCCAACGGTCGGTCCGAGCGGAATTTGCGACGGCCGGCGACTAACCGCACCTCGCATAGGCGCTTCCTGGGGAGCGGGCTACCTTTTCTACCCCTTGAGGCTCGGCTTCCCAGGTGGGGGCCGCCGGCTGCCCCTCTCGCTACCCGCAGGCGACTTCGTCCGATGAGCGACAACGCGTCCGATCACCACGCCGTCCCGACCGCCGGTCCGGTCATCGCCGCGATCTCCGCGGTCGTGCTGATGTACGCCGGCGCGTTGGCGCTCGGCTTGCCGCAGCGCGGCACCGAGATCATCGCCGGCGCCGCCCACGGCCACGGAGAGAGCGAGGCTGACCATCCGTCGGATCATGACGACCACTCGGACCACGGTCATGAGGAGTCGGACCACGGTCACGCCGAAGATGGTCACGAAGGCGATACACACGACACACACGACGCCCACGGCGGCGGTCACGGCCACGCCGGCGCCGCGCCGCCGATCTGGACGGTCACGCCTTTCGTTCTGCTGCTGCTGTCGATCGCGCTGCTGCCGCTGATCCCCGCCACCGAGCACTGGTGGGAGTCGAACCTCAGCCGGTTCCAGGTCGCCGCGGGGCTCGGTGTGCTGACGCTGTTGTACTACGGCTTCGGTCACCAAGAGGCGATCGAGAGCCATTGGCCCGCGCACGGCGTCGTCGAGCCCTCGTCGAGCGGTTTCGACCTCGGCTTCGTCCGCACGGTGCTGGAGAACGCCATCCTCGGCGAGTTCATCCCGTTCATCGTGTTGCTGTTCAGCTTGTACACGATCTCGGGCGGCATCCGCATCTCGGGCGACCTGCAAGCGAACCCGATGACCAACGCCATCTTCATGGCGGTGGGCGGGACGCTCGCGAGCTTCATCGGCACGACCGGCGCCGCCATGCTGCTGATCCGGCCGCTGCTAGAGACCAACCAGGAACGCAAGCACGTCGTCCACACGGTCGTCTTCTTCATCTTCATCGTGTGCAACTGCGGCGGTTGCCTGTTGCCGATCGGCGACCCGCCGCTGTTCCTCGGCTACCTGCGTGGCGTCGAGTTCTTCTGGACGCTGCAACTCTGGGAACCCTGGCTGCTGTGCAACGGGCTGCTGCTACTGGCCTACCTGCTGCTCGACGAGCTCGTCTACTACCGCCGCGAGACCGAGGCGGACATCACGCGAGACATCCGGCAGATTCGAGCGCTGAATTACGAGGGCCTGGCGGTCAACGCCCCGCTGCTGTTGGGCGTGATCGCCGCGGTTGCCCTGCTCGATCCCTCCAAGACCATCCCCGGCACCGACTGGCACCCGTGGATGTACCTGCGCGAGATCGTGCAACTGACGCTCGTCGCGCTGTCGCTGTGGCTCGGCCAGCAACGGGTGCGCGAAGAGAACAGCTTCAACTACCACGCGATCCTCGAGGTCGCTGCGTTGTTCAGCGGCATCTTCATCTGCATGCAGCCGGCGCTTCAGATCCTCGGCGAGCAGGGTCCGAAGCTCGGGATCGACGCGCCGATGGCCTTCTACTGGATCACCGGTGGCCTCTCCAGCGTGCTCGACAACGCGCCGACCTACGTTGTGTTTTTCGAGACGGCCAAGACGCTCTCTCCGCTGGAGGGCGACAACGTCATCGCGGGGGTGAGCGAGGCTCGCCTCGTGGCGATCAGCCTTGGCGCCGTCTTCCTCGGGGCGATGACCTACATCGGCAACGGGCCCAACTTCATGGTCCGGGCGATCGCCGAGTCGTCGGGCGTGAAGATGCCGAGTTTCTTCGGCTACATGCTCTACAGCTGCTGCCTGCTGTTGCCGATTCTGGCGTTCGTCGCTTGGCGGACGTTCTGAGGGCTGCCTTCGCCCGCCACCGCCGCGTCGCGACCGATCTGTCGGCGGCTTCGCAGGACGTGTACGTTAGTAAGCCACACGCCGAGCCAGCCACCGACTCCGACCCCCGCCCGTTGTGAGCCACGAGACGATCCTGACTGCCGAGGGGCTCGCCGACCTCTGCGAGCGCCTGGCCGGCTCGACGCGGATCGGCTTCGACACGGAGTTCGTCTCCGAGGACACGTTCCGCCCCGAACTCTGCCTCGTGCAAGTGATCGCCGAGGGGGGGCCCGGCGGCGACATCCTGGCGGTCATCGATCCCCAGCCGATCGGCGACCTGTCACCGTTCTGGGAGACGCTCGCCGACGGCGACCACGTCACGATCGCTCACGCGGCTCGTGAGGAGATCAACTTCTGCGTTCACGCGATCGACCGACCTCCGGCGAACCTGTTCGACACGCAGCTCGCGGCGGCGTTCTGCAGCCCGGAGTACCCGGCGGCCTACAGCTCGGTCGTGCAGAGGCTGCTGAGTTCACGGCCCAACAAAGGCGAGCAGCGGACCGACTGGCGTCGTCGCCCGCTGACCGACGCCCAGATCGACTACGCGCTCGAGGACGTCCGTTACCTGTTCCCGCTGCACGACAAGATCATGCAGCGCGTGCGGAAGCACGGCCGCGAGGCGTGGCTCGACGCGGAGACGACCGCCTTCGTCGAAGAGGTCATCGCCGCCCGCACCCGTCAGCGGTGGCGGAAGGTGTCCGGCTCCGGCGGCTTGCCGGCGCGGAGCCTGGCGATCGTCCGCGAGCTGTGGCTCTGGCGACAGGCCGAGGCCGAGCGCCGCGACCTGCCGCCGCGCCGCGTGTTGCGCGACGACCTGATCGTCGAGCTGGCGAAGAAGAAGACCGACCGCGAAGATAAGATCCGCGCGATCCGTGGCATGTTGCACGGGCAACTGAAGAAGGCGATCCCCGACATCTCGGCGGCGATCCGCCGCGGCCTCGACGCGCCGACCGACGATCTGCTCGGACCGCGTCGCAAGCCGCCGCCGCCTCAGCTCAACCTGCTCGGTCAGTTTCTCGCGCCGGCGATCACGAGCCTCTGCAACCGAGCCCAGGTCGCGTCCGCCCTGGCTTGCACGGCGACCGACATCCGCGAGCTGATCAGCTATCGCCTCGGCTTCGACAAGAAGCCGGTCGAGACGCCCGCCCTCGCCGAAGGGTGGCGGGCCGAGCTGATCGGCAACCTGATCGACGACCTCCTGGCGGGCAAAAAGTCGATCCGCATCAGCGACCCGCACAGCAGCGAGCCGCTCGGATTCGAGTCGACGTCCGACGCCGAAGCCGAGTAGGCCTCTACGACCCGCGACGCTCGGCCGCGGCGACCCAGTCGGCGTTCTCGGCGTACCAACGCACTGTCGCGCGAAGGCCGTCGGCGACGGCGGTTGTTGGCTGCCAGCCGATGCCCGATCGGGTTGCCGACCAGTCGAGCGCGTACCGGCGGTCGTGCCCCGGCCGATCGGCGACGCTCGTAATCAGCTCGCGACTCGATCCGGCGCCGGGCGTCAACTCATCGACCGAGTCGCAGATCGCCTCGGCCACTTCGCGATTGGTCCACTCGCGCGTCGACGGGCCCGAAGCGCCGAGGTGGTAGACGCGGCCGGCCTCGCCCGCTTCGGCAACGGCGATCAGCCCCGCGGCGCAGTCATCGACGTGCAGCCAATCGCGCACCTGCCTGCCGTCGCCGTAGAGCGGGATCGGTTCGCCGCGCAGCGCCTTAAGCGTCGCCAGCGGGATCAGCTTCTCTGGGAACTGCCGCGGTCCGTAGTTGTTCGTCGGGCAGACGACGATCGACCGCAGTCCGTAGGTCGTCTGATACGCCCGTACGAGGTGATCGGCCGCCGCCTTGGTCGCCGAGTAGGGCGAGCTGGGCGCGTAAGGATCGCCGGGCGTCGCGGCGCGGTCGCCGTCGATCGGGCCGTAGACCTCGTCGGTCGACACGTGGACGAAGAGCAGTTCGTCCTGCCGATCGGGGTGACGATCTGAGTAGTCCCGCCAAACCCGGAGCGCGGTCGCCGTGCCTTCGACGTTCGTTCTGACGAACGCCGCGGGGTCGTCGATCGAACGGTCGACGTGCGACTCCGCAGCGAGGTGCAGCAAGGTGTCCGGCTGGAAGCCTTCAACAGCCTCGGCGAACCGTTCCGCCGACGCGACATCCCCCTCGACGAACTCGTAACGGGCTTCGCCGGCAAGTTCGGCCACCGACTCGGGAAGCCCGGCGTAGGTCAACGCGTCGTAGTTGAGCACCGCGCGATCGGGCCGCCCCAGCAGCCGGCGAACAAGCGTGCTGCCAATGAACCCTGCGCCACCGGTTACGAGCACACGGTTAAGGGGGCGGGGCGGTGGCATCTGCAACAAGCTCGAATGGTAGTCGTCCCTCTCGATGGTAATCGACGCGAGCCAACGGGCCGGCAAACAAAAAACCGTCGCGCCGGGCAAGCGCCCAACGCGACGGTCAAAGAAGCTGAACGCTTCGGTCTTAAACTCGGCAGATCAGCGACGCCGACCGAACAGCGGGGCGACGCCCAAGGCGATCAGCATGGCCGCGGTCGGTTCGGGGACGGCCGACGAGCCGCCGCCCTGGCCGAACTCCGAGCCGAGGATGTCCAGGTCGAGAAGGTCGACGACGTTGTCGCCGTTTGCGTCGCCCGTTGTGCTGTCACCAGGGCCGCCGAAGTTGCTTCCCAAGATGTCGAGGTCCAATAGGTCGACGGCGCCGTCGCCGTTGAAATCGGCCTGCAGCATCGGTCCGATCGCCGCGTTCAGTGCGTCGAGGTCCGCTTGGTTGATCACCTCGTTGCCATCGAAGTCGAACCGCGAGTCGTCGACCGGAACCAACTCGCCGGCGAGCAGCAGCGAGAGCATGTTCACGTCGTCGTCGGTCAGCTCGCCGTCGTAGTCGTAGTCGCCGTTGAGCGGCGTGCCGGTCGACAGGTTGACGATCGAAGCGGTGTCGAAGAACGCGACGCCCGGCTCATTGTTGAACTGATTGAAGCCGATCGTCTGCCGCATGATCGAGGCGCCCGCGGGCACCACGACCTCGAACACGCTCTCGATCCACTGCATGTCGACTTCTTCGATCGTCTGCGTCGCGGCGTCGAAGATGATCTCCTCATCCGGCGCCGGCAAGAAGATGTCCGGGTCTCCTGTGAGCGGATCGATGAACGCTGTCTCGTGGAAGAATTGATTCTCGGCGCTCGCGAAGATGGTCGGTTCCGGGTTGCCTTCGAAGTTGAGCGCGTCGGACTGCTGCCGTGCGAAGAGCGTGACCCGCATGGTGTCGCCCGGCGTGACGGCGACCTGTTGCCAGGCGAATGACGTGACGTTGCCATCGAACGGCCCGAGGCCGACGCCCGAAGCGCTGCCCGTCAGGGTGGGTTGCGTCAGGTTGTCACCACCGGCCGGAAACAGGTTGAAGAACATGAATCCGCCGGGCGTGCCCGTATCGTACGAGTCATCGCGGGTTCCGTTGTCGTTGAAGTCGGTGGCCCAGCCTTCCCAGCCTTGGAAGCCGCCAAAGTTGAAGGCCGTGTCGAACACGCCTTCCTGCCCAGCCAGTTCGCTGAAGCCGTTGTTCTCTTCGAAGCTGCCATTGGTCAGCAGGTTGGTCTGGGCGTGCCCGATCGAGCCGAACGCCAGCGTCGCGATCACGACGCCAAGTCCTAGTCGCATCATCTTGTCGTTTCTCCTGAGTAGCTCGGGGTGATGAGTTGGAAGAGTGGGGTAACGGCCGCATCGGCGGCTCGTGGCGAGGGGGAGAAACTCGCCGTGACCGTCTCACTCTAGGCGGCAGGTGTCGTTTCGCGGAGCGTTTGAATGAGAAGATCCCGCACTATTGTGGTAGTAACTGTTTCTCTAAGCTGGGGCAGCGTGTAGCCCGCTCGATGCCGCAGTCAATGTGAGGCAGACCGCCATGGTCTCTTGCGTCGCGGCTTGGCTCGTGCTTATGATGCAGGGCTGTGGTGAGGCCTACGCCTTGCCCCGTTGCGGCTGTAGCTCAGTTGGTAGAGCATCACGTTGCCAACGTGATTGTCGTCGGTTCGAGTCCGATCAGCCGCTCTCGGGTCGTTTCCTGGTCCGCTCGGCTTGGCTGTCGCCAAAACCTCGCTTGGCCAAGCTGTTTCTGCCTTGTTGCCCAGGCTGTTTCGGGCCCACTTCCTGGCCTCTCGCTCGGCCCTCTTGTTGATTCTGACCGCGGTTGACCCCTTCTCTTGGGGCGGGCGGTGACGGTATTCTCCGGGGCTTGCTTGGCCCTTCTTGTCGCACGTGGCGGCAAAGGCCTCACGGCTACCCAACCCACGCGATCGCTATGGCGGCAGACGAATTGGACGACGACCTGACAACCGGTGACACCGCGGTGGCCGAGGCCGAGGAGCCGCAGAAGCTCTCGCTCGAGGTCGACGTCGCGAAGCCGGGCGCCTGCGAACGCCGGATCACCGTGAAGGTGTCTCGCGACGACATCGACCGGTACCTGGACGACGCCTACAGCGACCTGATGTCGACCGCTTCGGTCCCCGGATTCCGGACCGGCCGTGCGCCCCGGAAGCTCGTCGAGCAGCGTTTCAAGGACGAGATCGCCGACCAGGTGAAGGGATCGCTGCTGATGGACAGCCTCGCCCAGGTCAGCGAGGAAGAGGATTTCGCCGCGATCAGCGAGCCGGACCTCGATCTCGAGGCGGTCGAGATCCCCGACGAAGGGCCGCTGACCTTCGAGTTCAGCATCGAGGTCCGCCCCGAGTTCGACCTGCCGAAGTGGAAGGGCCTGAAGCTCAAGCGTCCGGTTCACGAGTACACGTCTGAGGAGATCGACGCCCAGGTCGAGCAGATGCTCGCCAAGTACGGCCAGCTCGTCCCGCACGACGGGCCCGCGGCCGAGGGCGACTACCTCGTCGCCAACCTCCGGGCCAGCGCCGATGGCAAGGAGATCGCCACGGACGAGGAACGCGTCATCCGCGTCCGCGAGGAGCTGAGTCTCATCGACGGCAAGATCGACGCCTTCAAGAAGCTCGCCGACGGCGCCAAAGAGGGCGACAAGCTCGAGACCAAGGTCGAGCTGACCGCCGACGCCCCGAACGCCGACCTCCGGGGTAAGAAGGTCGACCTCGAAATCGAAGTGCTCGAAGTCAAGAAGCTCCGCCTGCCGGAGCTGACCGAGGACTTCCTCGCCGAGATTGGCGACTTCCAGACCGAGGGCGACTTCCGCGACGCGGTCCAGAAGAACCTCGAGCGGCAGCTCGAGTACTCGCAGCAGCAGAAGGCCCGCGGCCAGATCAGCGAGCTGCTGACCGAGTCGGCCGATTGGGAGCTGCCGCCGGGGCTGCTCAAGCGGCAGAGCGTCCGCGAGCTGGAGCGGGCCGTCATGGAGCTGCGTCGCAGCGGCTTCAGCGAGGCCGAGATCCGGGCCCGCGAGAACAGCCTTCGCCAGAACAGCGCCGCCAGCACCGCAGCGGCCCTCAAGGAGCACTTCATCCTCGAACGGATCGCCGAAGACGAGAACATCGACGTGGAAGACGGCGATTACGATCGCGAGATCTTCCTGATGTCGATGCAGTCGGGCGAATCGCCCCGCCGCGTCCGGGCCCAGCTGGAGAAGCGGGGGTTGATGGATGTGCTCCGCAACCAGATTATCGAACGCAAGGTGATGGAGCTTGTGCAGGCGGAGGCGAAGTTCGTCGACGAACCGTACGAGCCGCCGACGACCAACACCGAGGCGATCCCCTTCGCCGCGGGCGGCTCGGTCGGCGAGATCCCCGAAGCCACCGAGGCGGAAGCGGCCGAAGACGGCGACGACTGACGGCGGGGCGAAAGCCCGTGGCCTCGCGGCTGCGGCGTCGGCCCGTCGCCTACTCAATCGAACGAAGGAGCACCCATGAGCGATCTGTTCGCTCCCACGGAAGGGCCACGGGCCGAGGCGCCGATCGCCGGCACGCCCTTTGAGCCACGCGCCGCCCGCGAGTACCAGCGTCAGCGTCAGATGACGCTCGGCGACTTGCTGTTGGAGAACCGCGTGATCTTCCTCCAGGGGGAGATCTACGACGGCAACGCCAACGAGCTGGTGATGAAGCTGCTGTACTTGCAGAGCGAGAACCGCCGCAAGGACATCCACTTCTACATCAACTCGCCCGGCGGCAGCGTCACCGCGACGCTGGCGATCTACGACACCATGCAGATGATCACCTGCCCGGTGGCGACCTACTGCGTGGGCCTGGCCGCGTCGGGCGGCAGCGTCCTGCTCGCCGGCGGCGAGAAGGGCAAGCGTTTCGCCCTGAAGCACTCCAAGGTGATGATCCACCAGCCGCACGGCGGCGTCGGCGGGCAGGTCTCCGACATCGAGATCCAGGCCGAAGAGATCATCAAGACGCGTCAGACGCTCAACGAGATCCTCGCCGGCCACACCGGCAAGTCGGCCGACGACATCCTCAAGGCGTGCGACCGCGACAACTACCTCACCGCCGAAGAGGCGAAGGAGTTCGGCCTGGTCGACGACATCCTCACCAAGCCGCCCGGGGCGGAAGAGGAAGAGGACGATTGAGGAAGTGGCTTGTGACCGGCGCCTCGTGGCTCGGAAGAGATCATGTGGCGCACGGTTGTGAGGCACTAGTCACGAATCACGAGTCACCAGTCACGGACGAAGGCCCCATGCCCCTCATTCCTTACGTCATCGAGAAGAGCGGCCGCGAAGAGCGGGCGATGGACATCTACAGTCGGCTCTTGGTCGACCGGATCGTGATCCTCGGCTCGGGCATCAACGACGAGGTGGCGAACAACGTCGTCGCCCAGATGCTCTTCCTCCAGTCGGACGACCCGAAGAGCGACATCCACCTCTACATCAACTCGCCCGGCGGCAGCGTCACCGCGGGGATGGCGATCTACGACACGATGCAGTTCGTCACGTGCGATGTGGCGACCTACTGCCTCGGCCAGTGCGCCAGCATGGGCGCCGTGCTGCTAGCGGCCGGCGCCGCGGGCAAGCGCCACGCCCTGCCCAACAGCCGCGTAATGATCCACCAGCCGCTCGCCGGCATGGAGGGCACCGCCGAGGACATCCTCATCCACGCGACCGAGTACAAGAAGACCAAGGACAAGCTCAACGGCATCCTCGCCCGCCACACGGGCAAGACGCTCGAGCAGCTCCAGGCCGACACGGATCGCGACAACTTCATGTCCGCCGAAGAGGCGGTCGAGTACAAGCTCGTCGACAAGGTCGTCGAGAGCATGCCGAGCTAGCACTCGCAGGCTGGCAAGGGCCGCTCGGCGGCCGTTCGCGTTGACGCCGGCCGCGGCTTCGCGTAATTGCCCCCTATGGATTCTCCGTGGGCAATGTACGCGCGCGTGAGGCGGCCGCCGTTGTTGCCCGCCGCTGCTGCCTGCTCGCCGTCGGCTGCAACAACGGGCGTCAGCTCCAGACGGACCTGTATCAGCGCGAGCTGCGGCTGCAGGAAGACGAGATCTACCGCCTCGAGGACTACATCGAGGAGTACCAGGCGATCATCCGCGGCTACCGGTGCGAAGTCGCCGAGCTGCGTCGCGACCTGGCGGAGGCCCAGGAGGCGGTCCCCGCCGAAGAAGTCGCGCCGATCGGGTCAGGCGACGTCATGCCGCTCGACGAGCCGAGCGACCTGGTCGACGACCCGATCGAGATGATCCCGCCGCCGACCGGCGAGAGCGGTCCGGCGCTCGAACCGACACCGGTTGAGAGTGGCGATGAGTCGGGTGTCGCACCCGACTTCGAGCCGGCGCCGCTTTTCGAGTCTTCCTCGGCAACGCCGATCGAGTCAACAATCACCGATGCCCCGGCGCCAGGCGTGACGGAGGACACCGTCGCTTCTGCCCTCCACCACGAACCCGATACGCCGCCGGCGGCGTACCCGCAGACGCGGTCAGTGACCGAAGCGGTTCACACCGCGGCGCGGGCGATCCGCGTCAGCGTCGGCCCGGCGGGTTCGGAGGCCGCCCCGTACGAGGCGTTGACGGTGTACGTCAGCGAGCGTGAGCACGCCGCCTTGGCGGGGTTCTCGGGGACCGTTTCGGTCATGTTGACCGATCCGGAAGCCACAGGACGCATGCGCCGCATCGCCCTTTGGGACTTCACCGCGCGAGAGACCGCCGAGGCGTGGAACATCGACCGGAACGGCAACCCGCGACTCGAGCTCTCGATCGAGGCCCCGAACGACACGCCGCGTGATCGCGAGCTGCGCGTCTGGGTGCGGCTGATCGACTCGGCGGGCCAGAAACGCCTCGAGTCGACGACCGTACGATTCGACGGCCCGAGCCGCCGACTCACTTCGGCGAGCGCGAACCACCCACGACGACTCCCATCGACGGGGGGCGCTGGACAAGCCACGGCGTCGGACGTGGTCGCCGGCGACGTTCAGGCCGATGGCGAGTGGCGTAGCGCCCGGCCACGTCGAGTGTTTGACTCGGCAATCCGTCCGACGGCGTACGAGGCGCGGTAGCCGCCCCTATTGGTTTGCCCCAAGACGCGACGAGGCCGAGACGCGGTGCGCCTCGACCCCGTCAGCGTTGGGGGGACTTCGCCTCTTCCTTCCGTGGCTCTCTCAGCGGCGACGGAAGACCATCGCGACGCCCGCCATGGCGGCGAGCAACGCCGTCGTCGGCTCGGGAACGACGCTGATCGTGATCGTGGCGAGCAGCTCGCCCGTGCCGATCGTGTCGTTGATCGTGCGTCCCGTGACGTCCGTGGCGCCGAGGAACGACGAGAGGTCCGAGCCGACGGTGATCAGGCCGCCCTCATCGACGCCCTCCGTGCCGACCTCGCCCTGCGTGAACGCCGCGCCACCGCCGCCGTTCACCTCGGTGCCGGCGTCGAGGATGTCGCTGCCGAAGATCTGGATCACCCGCTCGCCGACGACGTTGCCACCGGCGTCGATCAGCTCGCCCGCGGCGTTGAACACCTGGTAGGCGAACGGGTCGTCGTTGCCGATGAACGTGTCGTTCGTCGGCACGAGCATCGAGAGGAAGCTGAAGTACTGGTAGTTCGCCGGGTTGATCGGCGTGACGAAGCCGACACCCGTCTCGCCCGGCTCGATCGGCGGCACGCCGTTGCCGGCTGCGGCGACGACGCCCTGGATGTCACCGGGGATCCCCGGCGCGGCGGTGAACTCCGCCGTGATCGGGCCGACGTCGCCGAGCTCGGCGATCGCCTCGACCGAAGCGCTCGCGGCTGCGCCGACGTCGAACGAGTCGAACAGGCCGTTGTGGAAACCGAACCACACCGGTGTGATCGAGAAGTCGGTGGCGTCGCCGTGCTCGACCGTGATCTGCAGGTCACCGACGGCTTGGGCGGTGGCGACGGCGGGAACCAGCGCGGCGGAAAGGGCGAGCGCCGCGAAGCCGCGACAGGTGAGGTTGTTGGTCATTCGCATCGAAACTCTTCTCCAAGGTTGTGTGACGTCCGCGCGCAGTCCGACCACACGGAACAACGAACGCGCGACGCCGTTCAGGCGTTGGGGGGTGACAGCAAGATGGCAAGATCGACCCGCGACGGAGCCGGCGGAGCCACCCGGAATCGGGCGCTGTAGCGAATCAGGTTTTCACTAGCGTCTGGCTGAAGGGCCTCGGCGTCCCACCTCGCCGCGGTCGGGCGAAACACTTGTCGGACGTTGTTGGTTAGTCGCTCGCCCCGGTGAGGCGCTACAACGATTCCCGAGAAAAGTTGCCGGGTTCTATCGGTAGTCTTCGGACTCGCTTCGGGCTCTTGCGAGCGAACGACGGATCTTCTCTGCCGCCGCGGCTGACAGCACGGCGTCGGCGGCCTGCAACTGCTCCTGGCGGAACGCTCGTGGAGCGGCCCCCAGCATTCGGCGTAGCCAACGCATTCCGCGGTTGCTCCGTCGGCAGGGGCCGCACGACAGGCGGTGCAGGCGGGCGGCCCACCAGCGGTCGCGCTTGACGGGGCCGTCCCACTCGTCGGATTCGATGTGTCGTGCGTGCTCGCAGCGTGCGAAGAGCAGCAGCCGCCAGCCACGCAGGGGCCGTTTCAACGGAACGAGCCCTCCGACGAGCCCTCGCCGAACCAGCGGCGTTCCAGGCACTGCCTGAGGAGTGTCCGCGCCCGGTGCAGTCGCACGGACAGGTTCTTGCGGGAGATCCCCTCGGCGTCGCAGATCTCGGTGGGGGCCTCGTCGCCGAAGGTCCGCAGGCGGAACGCCCGGGCCAGGTGTTCGGGGAGGTCGCTCGTGCAGCGTGACACGACCGACCAGAACTCCGCGTCTTCGGCGGTGGCGTCGGTCGGCCGAGAGTCGCCACGGGCGGGGGCCTGCCCCCTCTCGTCGACGGGTTGTTCGACCGCCTTCGGCCTCCGACCAACCCGGCGGAAGTGGTCGGCGATCCGCCGGCGCATGATAGTTATGAGCCAGGTCCGCGGTTCGCAGCCGCCGTCGAACGAATCTCTGCCCCGCCAAGCGGAGAGCAGCGTTTCTTGGACGAGGTCCTCGGCCGTCGCGACGTCGCCCACCCGCACCAGGGCGAAGCGGAGAAGCGCGTCGCCGTGCTGATCGACCCAGTCCTCGGGGTCTCCGAGATTGGGCAGCAGCGGCTGGGGAGCGGTTGCGGACGCCATGGCGAGTCGGCGTGAAGGGGCCTCGCCGCCGCGTGCGGTCGAGTTACCCTCACGATACCGACGCGCGTCACCTCCAACGACAACGACGCGGCCGCCAGTGTGACCTGACGCACGCAACCAGGCGACTCGCACGCCGTGCGATTGGTAGAGCCGCTAGCAGCTGCCGCGGCTCACTCGGCATCCGCCGAAGCGGCTTCGTCAGCGGCCGGTTCGCCGGCCGTCTCGGCTTCCTCGGCGGGGGCCTCGGCCGGCGCTGCGGCGCCCTTGGCGCCCTTGCCGAGCTGGTACGCCACCAAGCAACCGACGACCAAGAAACCGATGTCGAGCGGATTGACGTCCGACTGCCGGCCTTTGCCCATCGTCGCGGGTGGCAGGCCGGCCTCGGGAAGCAATGGCCCTTCGAGAACCGGGGCTTCGGCCACGGGGATCTCGGCCGCGCCATCGGCCGCGCCGTCGGCCGCTGCCGCCTTCGGTGCCGCGGCGCTAGCGACGGTGACGCCTTTGCTCTGGATCACCTTCGCGGCGGCCATCTGTCCGCCGATCAGCGAAGCGACCGTCGCCACGGCCGCTAGGCCGCCACGCAGGTAGCTCGCTCTCGGGCCGCCCGCCATGATCTTCATGATCAGGCCCGCGGCGATGCCCGCGACGATGATCGGCCAGTATTCCTGGAAGCCCGAGGCCCCCAGAGCCGCGACGATTGCCGCGCCGACCGCCAAGCCGACGATAGCGCCAAGAAGAGCACGCATGGCTCACCCCCAGGGATTCGATAAGCAGCCTGGAGGCCGATCCCGCCGATCTGTGCAGCCGCACCAAGCTATTTACCGTTGTAACCCCAGGGAGGGGCTGTCGCACCGGCGCCCCTCAAGAAAGTGGCAGAAAAGCAAGCGATTGGCTTCCAAACGCGCAAGAAGAAGCGACGGCCCCGAGGGGCCGTCGCTCTGAGTCCGCTGTGGCCAGGTCCGAAAAACGGAGCCTCGCTCCGCTCTCCCAAGACCTAGAGGGCCGCGATCTTCGAGATCAGGTCGACGGTGCGGCAGCTGTAGCCCCACTCGTTGTCGTACCAACTGACGACCTTCAGCATGCTGTCGCCGATCGCCTGGGTGAACGGCGCCGCGAAGATCGAGCTGTGGGGGTCGCCGATGATGTCGCTCGAGACGATCGGGTCCTCGGTGTAGCAGAGGATGCCCTTGAGCGGGCCCTCGGCGGCGGCCTTCATCGCCGCGTTCACCTCGGCGGGGCTCGCCTTCTTGGCGAGGTTGACCGTCAGGTCGACCACCGAGCCGGTCACGACCGGCACCCGCATCGCGATGCCGGTGAGCTTGCCCTGCAGCTCGGGGATCACGAGGCCGACTGCCTTTGCCGCTCCGGTGCTCGTCGGGATGATGTTCACGGCCGCCGCACGGGCCCGGTAGGGGTCCTTGTGGGGCAGGTCCTGTACGTTCTGGTCGTTCGTGTAGGCGTGGATGGTCGTCATCAGACCGTCCTCAATGCCGAACGACTCGTGCAAGACCTTGGCGAACGGCGCGAGGCAGTTCGTCGTGCAGCTCGCGTTGGAGACGCACTGCATGTCCGAAGTGAGCTGGTCATCATTCACGCCCATGACGCATGTCAGGTCGGCGCCGTCCTTCGCGGGCTGGCTGATAACGACCTTCTTGGCGCCCGCCTCGAGGTGCGTGTCGTAGCCCGGCTTACCGCCACCGGCGCGGGCGGCGAACACGCCGGTCGACTCGACGACCACGTCGGCTCCCAGCTCGCCCCAGGGGCACTCGGCCGGGTTGCGGATGGCGGTCGCCTTGATCTTCTTGCCGTTGACGATCAGGTGCTCGTCGTCGTGCTCGACCGTGCCGGGGAAGCGGCGGTGCGTGCTGTCGTACTTCAGCAGCGTGGCAAGCATCTGGTTGTCGGTGAGGTCGTTGATCGCGACGACTTCGAAGTCGTCGGGACGCTCGGCAAGACCGCGGAACGTGAGGCGGCCGATGCGACCGAAACCGTTGATGGCGACTTTGATGGCCACAGTCTGTATCTCCGTTGTGTTACGTTGCCCGGCCACGACGGGGGGAGGCCGTGCCGGGAGGACGCCGCTCTTTCACAGCGCCCCTGCTGAGTCTGAAAACCCTCGGCGAATCTGAAGTTATAGTGGGCCCTTTGGCGCGTCACAACCGGCCGCCGGCCGCATCGCAATAGCGATATCTAACGCCGTTTCTCCGCATAACGATGGCCCCTCCGAAGCCGATGTGCAAACCACTCCTTGCCGGCCTGATCGCTTGTCTCCCGCTGAACGCCATGGCCCACGACGGTCACGAACACGCCACGCACGACACGCCGGCGCCGAGCGCCTCCGATTCGACTGGGGTGACCGGATCGGGAGACCTCCGCTTTCGCTACAACGCCGAACTGAGTGAGCTGCCGGCTGAGATCGCCGCGGGGATCAAGCCCGCCCACGGCGGTTTCGCGAAGACCCCCTCCGGCGAGATTTACTTCGGCCTAGAGGCGACCGGCGTGATCCGGCTCTCCGCGGACCTCAAGGAGAAGACGCTCGTGTCGACCGCCCCGGCGATCCGCGTCGGCGGGCTGCACAACACGACCTATGTCGATCGCGACGGCGGGCTGCTCGTGCTGCCGGACAACGGGTTGGGGCAGGTCCACGTGCTGAGCCTCGCCGGCGAAGAGGTCGCCACGTTGGGGCGTCCGGACGTCAACGACTATTACGCCGACGAGTCGAACGCGTACCACCCGACCGACACCGACGTCGACACCAACGGCACGCTGTACGTCTGCGACGGCTACTCGCCGGCGAAGGCCATCCTCACGGCGGACCTCGGTTCGATGACCTACGGCGAGAAGCACTTCGGCGGGCCGGTCCCCGACGGCGGCCGCACCGAGGGCAAGTTCTCAACCAACCACGGCGTGACGTTCGATCCGACGGACGGCACGCTCGTGGTGGCCGACCGCGAGCGGCAGTGGGCGCAGAAGCTGACGACCGACGGCGAGTTCGTCGAGGGCTTCGACACGGCCGGCGCCAACCCGTGCGACGTGGACTTCGTCGAGTGGGGCGGCGAGCGACTCATGGTTGTCGGGTGCCTCGTCAGCGCCGAAGGCCCCGGCGTCGTTCAGGTTCTTCGTGGTGGCGAAGTCGTCTCCACGCTGCGGCCGAAGCTCGACCTCGGACTCCAGGACTTCCAACACATCCACAACGCCGTTGGCGTCGTGGTGGAGGGCAAGCTGTACGTGCTCTGCTACGGCTGGAACCCGGGATGCTACGCCGTGCTGGAGCACGTCGCCGATTGACTCGGTCGCTCAGAGAAGTGAGAGACGCTTCGGCCCGAGATCAATCGTCCGCTGGCGGGCGGAAGCCACGCCGCGTTTCGAGCGTGATCTCGTTGCCGCGCTCGTTGAAGGCGACCTTCTCCATGTAGGCGTCGATGAGGGCCATGCCCCGCCCGCCGAAGGATTCGAGGTTCTCGTCGGCCGTGCAGTCGGCGACCTCGTCGCGGGCGAAGCCGTCGCCCTCGTCTTCGACTCGGAGCCAGAACGCCTCGCCGCTCGCCTTGCAGGCGGCGCGAACGGTCTTCGACTCGTCGCAGCCGTTGCCGTGGCGGATCGCGTTGCTGAGCGTTTCTTCGAGCGTCATCTGAACGCCGAAGTAGTCACGCCCCTCCCAGCCCAGGTTGGCGAGCTGCTCCAGCACCTCGTCCATGAACGGCAGATGGGCGCCGAGTCGGCTCGGGATCTCGGTCTCCGACGTCCAATCCCAGTCAGCCGTCACGGCGCCGCCTCGGCTCTTTGGCTTGGGGATGTCGGTCCGGCCGGTTCCGCGAGCGCGGCCCCTGGAGTCGATCACAGGACGGCGAGGGCGTCCGCCTCGTCGTCCTTGATTGTAAACAGCTTGGTCAGCTTCGTGATCGCGAACACCTCGTAGATCTCGGGGCGGATGTTCGTCAGGATCAGCTTGGTCTTTTTCGTCCGGGCCTTCTTCTCGAAGCTGATCAGCTTGCCGAGCGCCGCGCTAGAGAGGAACTCGACTTCGCCGAAGTTCAGGACGATCTTCGGGCGGCTGTCCTTCTCAACGAGGTTGTAGAGCTCTTGGCCGAGCTCTTGGATCGCTTGCTCGTCAATGATCTTCGAGTCTCGGAACGTCACCACCGTGACGTCCCCGGAATCGGCCAGGGCGATCCGCTGCGGTGTGCTCATCGGGTGGGGGCTCGGACGCAAGGGGTGGCGGGACGCAAAGCGTCGATGCTACCCCCGCGCGGGGTGGTGTCAACCTGGCGCAGCGGGGGCGCAAGCCCCGTCAACTCGGCCTTGGCATCGTCAGGCTGTGGAAGAACAGCACCGCGCCGACCGCGATCAAGCACCAGCCGAGCCACGCCGGCGGCGACACCACCTTGGCCGGCAACGTCGCCGGCAACGCCGGCGCCGCGCCCGACAGCGCGCCGACCGGGTCGGCCGACGCCTGGGCTCGCTCGGCGAGGAACCGCGTCGCCTCGGGCGTCAGCACGTACGACGCGACCATCCGCAACTGCACACCCAGCAGCAGCAGGAAGATCGCGAAGAAGACGAACTGGTTTCGGTTGAGTTCCATCCGTTGGCGCTCCTTTCAAGGACGCGACACCCCGGTCCGAGAACGGGCCGGGTCGTCTCTCTTCGGATCGACAACGCCGGCGCCGCTGGCGCCCACAATCTTGCGGGCGCCGCACTTTGACGGCTGTGTCGATCGCGCCGGGGCCCCAGCCGGAACAAGAAGAGCCGCGCCGCTCCACGGGGAGCGGCGCGGCTTGGTTCGTTTCACGTCGTGAGTCGGCCGGCTCAGAGAGCGAAGGCCAGGGCGAGCGCCTCGTCTTCTTCGATCTCGTCGTCTTCGGCGGCTTCGCGCGACGCGGGCCGGTAAGCCGAACGCTCGTCGGCTTCGTCGGCCGGGGCGTCGAGCGACCACTCCAGCAGGGCGGCGTCGATCGCGTCCTCGCCCGAGTCGGACGGCGTGACGACCGTGCCGCTTGCCGGCGAGACGTCGATCGGCGTCGACCCCGTGTCGACGGCCGCCGAGAACAAGGCAGGCGTCTCGGGTTCGTTCTCCTCGATCGGGTGCAAGACCGGCATCGGGATGCTGCTGACCGGAGCCGAGAACGGCAGGCCCGTCAGGTCGACGACCTCGTAGCCTGGGTCTTCGGCCGGCGCGGTCGCGAGTGCCAATCCCTCGACGGGGAACTCGGAGCCGAGGATGTCGAGGTCGAGCAGGTCGACGTTGCCGTCGCCGTTCGCGTCGCCTTGAGCCTTGGTGGCTCCCGGCCCGGTCAAGAAGTTGAGCCCCAAGATGTCGAGGTCGAGCAGGTCGACGCTGCCGTCGCCGTTGAAGTCGGCGGGCGACTCGGTCGGAGTGACCCCGCTGACCCGTGGCAGCAGGTAGTCTTCGACCTCTCCGTCGCTCGCGAGCCCGGTGACGCCAAGACCGGCTTGGGTGCTCCAGCGGAATCGGGCCGCGTAAGAGTCCGCCGTGGCGTCGACGTCGGCCGGCGTGTTGACGACCAAACGGGAGATGACCCCCGACGTCAGGGCGCGGTCAACGGCGATTTGCTCGCCGACGTCGTCCCAGTCGCCGTCGTTGTTGAAGTCGATCCAGGCGTTCAGCAGGCCGCCCGTGCCGGTCGCTTTCACGTCGATCTCGAGGACCGAGCTCGCGGTGATCTCGGCCGTGACGACCGACACGCCGTCCTCGTCGTCGTCGAACAGGTTGTCGTCGGCCGTCGCGTTGACCGACTCACGGTCACCGGGGTCGGCGTCCGGGGCGACGTCGCCCAGGAAGAAACCGGGCGTGACCGTGTGGCGGGCGCCGTCGTCGGCAAGCGTCGTCGGGAAGTTGACGACGCCGTTGACGATCAGGTCACCGTAGTCCTCGGTGAAGTCGAGCGCCGTGTTCTCGACACCGAGGTCGGGCGCCTCGGAGACCGCTCCGACAGACACGACGACCGATTGATCGGCAGTCGTCTGCACGAAGAACGGCATCGAGTCGAGGTTCGTCCTCACGGTGTAGGAACCGACCTGAGGGATCGGCACGGAGTAGCTGCCGTTCGCGTCGCTGGTGACCGACGCGATGACGGTGTCCGTTGCGTCGAGCACCTCGACGACAATGCCGGCAAGGCCGGTCTCGCCCGTGTCGTTCGAGCCGTTGCCGTTGTCGTCGTCGAAGACCGTGCCGTTGATCCCTTGCTCGAAGCCGTACAAGAAGTTGGCGACAACGGGCGAGCTCGGGCTGACCGTTTGGCTGAAGATGCCGTCGATCGGGATCAACGACTGCAGCGCCGGGTCGATGGTCGACTCGTCGACGCGGAGCGTCACGACGATCTCCGTCGTGGTGTTCAGCAGGATCTGGTACGACCCGTTGGCGTCCGTGACGTCGCGCGGCTCGTCGTCGTCGAGCACGCCGTTGAGGTTGCGGTCGAAGAAGACGGTCGCTCCGACGAGCGCCGTGTCGTTTGTGTCGAACTCCGAGTCGCCGTCGGAGTCGATCCTCGCGGCGCCGCTCACCGCCACCGGATCGGTCGCGGCGTAGAGGTAGTCTTCGACTTCGCCGGTGTTGGCCGACCCGCTGTAGCCGATGCCGAACGGCCCCCAGCGGAAGCGGGCGGCATAGACGGCGTCGGACGACTCGTCGACGTCGGCCGGCGTGGGCGCCACGATCCGCACCGTTGAGCCGGTGGCGAGGTCCTGCGTGTCGACGAAGATCTGCTCGCCCGGATCGTCCCAGTCGCCGTCGGCGTTGAAGTCGAACCAGGCGTTGAGCACCGCCCCGGCCCCGTTGGCCACGATGTCGAATTCGATCGTGCTGTTGGCCTGGACGTCGGTCGTCACCAGCGTGACGCCGTCCTCGTCGTCGCTGCCGTTGGTGTCGTCGCCCGT